AAAGGGATTGAGCACAACAACTTCCAGCTGCAATGTACTCGGCTTCAGCTGTAGAAAGAGCAACACATGCTTGCTTTTTACTATGCCATGAGATTAGACTGCTTCCAAGGAGATGTAAGTGCCACTGGTGCTTTTCCTGTCAAGCTTACACCCTGCAAATTTTGATTCAGAGTATCCAATTAAATTTAGTTTGGACTCACCAGGATACCATAACCCAACATTTAAAGTCCCTTTGAGATATTTGAGGATCCTTTTTGTAGCAGTAAGATGAGATTCTTTTGGTGCAGATTGAAACCTGGCACACATACAAACACTAAACATAATGTCAGGTCTACTTGTTGTGAGATATAGTAAAGAACCAATAAGCACTCTATATTTAGTTTCATCTACTGGTTTTCATTTTTCATCAGAATCAAGATAGCAATTGGTGGACATTGGTGTTGATGCTTCTTTGCAATGTTGCATCTCAAATTTCTTTAAAATCTCTGTGCAGTATTTAGATTGATGAAGAAAACTTCCTCCTTGAAGTTGTTTAACTTGTAATCTAAGAAAGTAGTTGAGTTCCCCCATCATAGACATTTCAAATTCCCCCTGCATATCTTTGATGAAATCTTTACATAAAGACTCATTAATTGCTTCGAATATGATGTCATCAACATATACTTGAACTAGAATTATATCATTATTTAATTTTTTTAGAAATAAAGTCTTATCAACCAAACCTCTTTGATAGCCCTTTTATATGAGAAAATTACTTAACCTTTCATACCATTGTCTTGGAGCTTGCTTGAAACCATATAATGCTTTCTTTAATCTATAAACATATTCTGGATGAATATGATCTTCAAAACCAGGTGGTTGTGTAACAAAAACTTCTTCATTCAAGTAGCCATTTAAGAAAGCGCTTTTGACATCCATTTGAAATAACCTGAAATTCTTTATTGAAGCATAAGCAAGTAGAAGTCTAACAGCCTCTAATCTAGCAACAAGAGCATATGTTTCATCAAAATCAATTCCTTCTTGCTGATTATACCCTTTAGCAACTAATCTAGCCTTATTTCTAGTAATTATACCATTTTCATCCATTTTATTTCTAAAAACCCATTTAGTTCCTACAATATTGACATCATCTGGTTTTGGAATTAATTCCCATACTTCATTTCTTGTAAATTGATTTAATTCATCATGCATAACATTAATCCAGTTATTATCCTTTAATGCATCATATATGGTTTTTGGTTCTATTTGTGATACAAATGCCATGTGATTGCAGAATTTATTTAAGGATCTTCTAGTGGAAACTCCCTGATTTATTTCACTAATGATGTTGTCTATTGAAATATTTCTTGGAGTCTTCCATTCTTTAGGCAACTGCTCTTCAGATTCTTCAATAGATTCTTCCTGTTTTTGAAAAATTGTTGATTCTGGCAATTTTAACTGATACATTTTATCAGTTAAAACATCACCTTCTCTACTATACTCAGAATTATTCTGCATGCTTGGGTTAGTATCATCAAACACAACATGAACAGATTCTTCTACAGTATTTAGTCTTTTGTTAAAGATTCTATAGGCATGGTTATTCAATGAATAACCCAAGAAGATACCTTCATCTGATTTGGAATCAAACTTTCCAAGATTTTGTTCCTACAAAACAGATTTAACATATATCTGGTACCCTTTTTATAATCATTGGGTCCAATCAGGTTATTTGAAATGAATTCTTGGGAATCCACTTCATTCTACCTCTTGGTATAGCATACTTTTTTATTCTACAAAATTTAATAGAATGACCTCTTTTCATACAATAGAAGCATGTAATAAATGGTGACGAAACAGATTTACTATATGCAAAATAGTTTTTAAATGCTCTAGTTTTCTTTCCAACAAGAGGTGTAAAACCAATACCACCACGATCAATAACCAACTTTTGAGAATCAAGTATAACATCAAAATTGGTTTTTCCTTGTGCAAGTTTAGATGCAGTTTTTATTAAATATGCTAATTTCTTTTGTAACTCAGGACAATTTTCACAATCTTTTTTTATCATTACACATGCAATCTGAATTATTACCTATTTCCTGATTTTCATTCTTAGTTTCTTTATCAAGAATTTCCTTTTCAAGAAGAATGATTTAGTTTTCTAATAAACTATTCAAGCTTTTTAATCTTTTGTTTTCAATTTCTAATTTTTTTGCTACTGCATGCATTTCATAAAAAGCATCTTGTAATGAACTGTAATTCATAGTAGTTGTTGAAGAATCAGAACTTACACTGGACATGGGAGAATTCGAATTGACCATCAAACAAATCTCTGTTGTTTCTTCATAAGCCATTTCAAGAGTTTTTCACATTTGTGCAGCAGTTTGACAATGAGATATCCTGAAAAAATCATTTCTGTTAAGTGCAGATGTGATGATATTCTTAGCAGTACAATCATCTTGAATTAGTTTCTTTTCACAATCATTCAAACTAGACCATTCTCTGTTAAAGACATAGGAGCCTTGTTCAATAATATTCCAAACACTTATATCAATAGATTCAATAAAGATCTTCATTCTTATCTTCCAAAATGAATAATTTGTTCCACAAAACAGTGGAGGTTTATCAATACAAGCACCCTCAGAAAAATTATTTCCAGCCATTTGGATAGAAAAACTTGAATAAATCTCAAGAACCTTGCTCTTGATACCAATTGTTAGAAAAGTAGTTTGAGATCAAGAGGGGGGGTGAATTGATCTTTGAAAGATTTTCGCAATATACAGATTATCTACTTCAAAGATTAAGAGTCCTGACCAATTCTTGAATCAAACCAAGCAAGCAATAAAAAATAAAGACATCAACAGAATTAAAGAGAGAAAGGTTTAGAAAGATATAACCAAGATTTATACTGGTTCACCCAATCCCAAGGCTACGTCCAGTTCCCAGCCAAATTCCAGTTGAGTTCCACTAGATTGAATGTTTTACAGATTACAATTCCAATCATACACCCAATCTACCACAAGAACCAAAATTCCAGTCCTTGCACCTAAACCTTCACCAAGAACCAACTTCCAGTTCTTGAACAACCCTGCAGCCAAATTCCAGCCACAGAAACCAGTGCCCACACTTCCAGACACCCACAATACAGTAAAGAAAAAGTAAAGAAACAAAGAGAAGAAACTAGAACACTCAAACCCGGTTTATGCAGTTCTGTAGAATGAGTTTCTTCACCAAAAGAATGCATAATTTGCCTCAAGAAAGAACTTCAAAAAACTTCACAAAACTTGCGTGATTCTTTCTTGAAAGTAGCTCTTATGATTGCTTGATTGATTGCTCAAAGGTGTGTTTTAAAATACTCAAGCAATCCTGTTTATATAGAGGATTTTTCAAACTGCTGGTTTAATTAATCTGTTAAAACAATCTTTTAATGTGTTAAAAGTCTTGAATTAATTTGTTAAAACTTCTTTTAATCTGTTAAAACTTCTTTTAATCTGTTAAAACTTCTTTTAATTTGTTAAAATGTTCTTGATCATTTTCCAGATTTGTTTTAACTGATACGACAACATTTATATCAATTAAAACACTTTGTAAAAAATCCCTTAAGTTGTTTTAATCTATTTATTCGTCTTTTAATCGATTAAAATACTGTCAAATGTTTCCATAAAACTTTCTAAGTGATTTTAACTGATAATAATCTGTTTTAATCGATTAAAACACTTTAGAAAAAATCTCTTAGTTGTTTTAATCGATTATTTCGCATTTTAATCAATTAGAATTCTGCCAAAAAAGTTTATAAAACTTTCTAAGTTATTTTAACTGATAACATACTTGTTTTAATCGATTAAAACACCGTAAAAAAACCTCTTAGTTGTTTTAATCGATTAATTCGCATTTGCATCAATTAAAATACTAACAGAACATCTTTCAAAATATTTCAAGTTATTTTAATCGATTATTTCGATTCTACATCAGTTAAAATACTGGCAGAAGGTTTTCAAAAACTCTTTTAATGAAAACAATCGATTATTTCGAAGACATATCAATTAAAATAGTTCCAGTGTATGTTTTAAAAGGTTTCAATCGATTATTTCGAAAACCTATCAGTTAAAAATATGTTATGAAAGTGTTAAGAACATTTTAACTGATAAAGGTCATATAATATTAGTTAAAACAGTTACTTAAAAACCATTTAACAAAATACTTTGTTTTTAACAGATTAAACATGTTTTAGAGGTATTTGCAAAATCTTTTAAATGATGAAACCTCATGCAGCAGAGAGATAAGAATGATTATACCTATGTATAGACGCAGACTCACTAATCACTCTACATTTTTAACCAAGTAACCTTTTACTGCAACAGAATAGCATTTGACTTCATTTTGACTTCATCAAATCAACAAGATCTTGGTTTAATCAAATGATTCAATAAGATCTTCATTACTTTCAATGGTACCTCTTCATTTTTTCTTTGTAGATCCTAGAGTTTCATATGCTTGCAATCTTATCTCATCCAATTCTTTCAATTAGAGTTTTCTTGCCTTTCTACCTTCTTTTAATCCAAGGTTACACTTCTTCATAGCCCAATAGGCTTTATGTTCTCTTAGGTCTGGAATGGCCTCTAACCAGTGTGTTATGGCAGTGATGCAAACTTTGAAACTCACCCTGGGGAACACAAATTCTAAGTACTTGGCCATTGTAGAATTTTCAGAGATAGGGGTCATCCAAACAAAGTGCTTTGCATCTGATTTTAGTTTGTCAATTTGAGTGTTGAATGCATGTGGAGGCAAAATGGCAGCAACCAGAAAATTTACAAGGTTAGCATGCCATGGAACAAAATTAACAACATGTATAGAATAAAAGAAAGAATCGAGAAATTCGTCAACTACTTGCAACAGGTCCTTCTCTAGTTCCTTCAAAAAAAAAAATTGGCAATTATCACATGAAACCTCTGCTCTTCATCTAGATAAGCATACTTCAAGTTGCTAGCTAGAGGTTTCAACTCCTCTTTCGATAGTTCCTACTGAACTTGCGTTTGTGCCACCGGTGCATCAATCTCAGGTTCACTTGTTGCAAAATAGCTAGATACAAGGCTTATGGCAGCAAGTATTTCATTACAAGCATTGCAGTTATCCATTGTGCAAGTATTATCAACATAGTGGCTCTCTATCAGTGGTTCAGTGTTCCTCTCAAAGAAATTCAGAAAGTTTTAAATCAAAGTCATTATTAAAAATAGAATCTAATCATATGCCTAAGTGCATGTCCTGCGCCTTAAACTTAGTCATAAAACACAAAACAACCACGACTGCAATACAAACAACCAGTGCAAATTATAGTGATGTGATACAAACCGACAATTGTTAACAAAGAACTACTCCTATAAAGAAAAATAAGAAAAATCGAAAGATTATATACTAATATATATATATATATATATATATATATATATATATATATATATAAAAGGAAAATAATAACTTAATAAAACTTATGCCTTCCATGGCAACGACACCACTTTGACATTATACATGTAACACTCTTGCCATCAGAGTGTGGTAAAAAAAAAAAATGAAGTTTCCCCTTTACTAATTAAATTTAGTATAAGGGTCAACTCATATCAGTTTGAGGAAGACTAGTATCTTGAGCTTATTTTTTGCAACAAAAGAACTGAGGGGTTTACATTAAATATGTAGCTACCTACTATAAGATCATGAACAATTAATGAAAACAAAGTTTAAGGACCAACAAACATAAAACTAAAAGACTGAACATTGTAAATATAAAAAAAATGCTAGCTAACATGAATCCAAACAAAGTAAAAAGAAAATCGAAAAATTAGAGAAAGGTAAAAGAAAAATTGAGCAATAAAAAAAAGAGAAATTGAGCAATAAAAGGAAATGCACTTGAGAATTAGCAGTACATCAAAGAAAATAGTACATTATAAAAAGTGATGAATAGAAGAAAACAAGAAAATAGTAAATCGAAGAAAATAGTTAATCAAAGAAGGCAAGGCAAGGAAGGTAAAAGCAAGAAAGTAGTTGATGGAGGACCATTTAGACCCGACACACTGAGGTCCAAGGCCGAAGGGATAAAAGGGGAAGAGGCCTAAGATAGGAATATCCTTTAATAAAGCTGGCATTACTAAGACCTCCTTTTCTATTTTTATTGGTTTGTAAAATTCTTGTGAAATTGTATAGACTTTACTTTTCTCTTTCTTGTAAAAATTAGGACTAGAAGGGGTGCATACTCACCTTGGGCTAGCCATCATGGACCAGGTCACACCTTGGGTGAGCTATCAACTTGAAAACTAGGAGCACTCCTCACACTTGAAGATCCAATGTTTAATACTTGGTTGCAATTTTAGAGAGGTTTCACATATATAAACACTCGGAGCAAGCCAAATTTAGAGGAGATGAGACTTGACCGTGCATCACTTAAAAAAAAGGGACAAAGCTCAACTCCTGGCTACCACAAAAAGAGAATATGTCATTTTTCCATTTCAAATTCGGCCAAAGTACTTCAAACACTCACGGCGGTTCAAACTTCAACTCTTGGTTACAATATTTTGGTATATAAACACATAAATGTAATTAAAAATGGGCAATGTGGGACTTGAAGCTAGGAAATTTAGTGCATAGCCTTTAAATATGATTTTAGGAATTTATTGCTTTTAAGTTACGGTCATATTAGATTAACTTATAATCGTTAACTTTTTCTAACCCTTTTAAACCTAATATTTTCATTCTTTGTCAAGTATAAAGCACATTACATGTTAAGAAGTTTTTAAATTATATTGGAAATGATTTTAAATATTTATAAGAGTGCAGTAAAATTAAATTATACCAGTTGAATGTTAATCTATTACAATTTTTGCACAATGCCACAAGATTTCATTGATTTGTTTTAGAAATTTGGAGTACTAGAGAAAGGGAAAATTGTAAAAACGTATTCCACCCAGATACCAAATTTCGCTTGACAGATTTGAATGATTATTAAAAATTATGAAAAATATGCAAGAAAGAAAAGTAGAAAAAAGAAAATGGGTGAAAAAGAATGTATATATTATAAAGGATTTTGATAAGTTGTTTTAAAAGTCCCCATCTTTGATTCTATGCTTCTTTTTAAGCTTTAATTTCCTTTGTTTATATCATACCTTAACCTTGACCTTATTTTGTTATTTAAATTGCATGTGCTACAGTGTATTTAACTAAAATTTTGTCAAATCTATAGTTAATCTTATTTTTGAGATGTGAGGATTTTTAGTCTTTATTTATTATATTGTGATGAATACTTATCAATTGTTATTTGTTGAAATATTGATAGGATATTTTTGTTTTAACATTATGAACATGAAATTTTTAAAACTGAATTATTGATTATCAACTTGATTTATGATAAAATGTAGGTTCACCTTTGTTTTCTTATTTATAGTTTTGCTTAGAAGCAGGGCAAAAGCCAATGGGCCCTTCCCCTCCCCCTCCCTAAAAAGAAATAATTCCTTTTAATTTCTTTAAAATATAGTATGACCCCTTTAAAAAATTATATATATTGATCTTCTAAAACTAATTTCTAGATTCTCTCTACTTGAAGGTGTAAAAGTTTAAGTGCAGAGTTATTTGATGAATAAATTTTATCTATGTTTTTATTTATATATTTTACGTATAATTATATTATTTAATTATTTAAACACTTATTGCTAACATAGTTTTAGGGAAATAGTTTTATATAGGTCTTTAGTAAAATATTAATTAAATTGTATATTTTACTAAATATTTGTACATTGATGTGGGAATGATAAATTAAGAAGATTTAAAACTTTGATTTTAAAGTATTTTTTCTAAGTAAAGAAGAATATGCTCAGTGAATATTGGAGAAAAAACATATTCCAAAAATGATCAAAGTCCTCAACAAAATTACAAACCATTGAGTAAAAGTATCGGGTTTAGTCACACTAACTGTTTTGTTTATGGAAATATAGAATGCTTAGCGAGTAATTAGATCAGTCTTCTACAAAATTGATGAACTAAGTTTTAACTCATACAATTTGTTATTTATAGACCTTAGATGGTGATGATTCCCTGAGTCCCCTTGAGGAGAGAGAGAGCTGAAAGTGATAAAGATCTTATTGAATCATTTAAATGAAGATCTTGTTGATTTGATGAAGTCAAAATGAAGTCAAAGGCTACTCTGTTGCAGTCAAAGGTCACTTAGATAAAAGGGTAGAGTGATTAGTGAGTCTGTATCTTTACTTATGTATAATCATTCTTATCTCTCTGCTGCATGAGGTTTCTTTATTTAAAATATTTTGCAAATACCTCTAAAACGTGTTTAAACTGTTAAAAACAAAGTATTTTGTTAAATGGTTTTTTAGTAACTGTTTTAACTGATATTATATGAGTTTTATCAGTTAAAATGTTTTTAACACTTTTGTAACAGGTTTTTAACTTATATGTTTTCGAAATAATCGATTGTTTTCATTAAAAGAGTTTTTGGAAACCTTCTGCCAGTATTTTAACTGATGTAGAATTGATATAATCGATTAAAATGACTTAAGTTGTTTTGAAAAGTGTTCTGGCAGAATTTTAATCGATACAAACTCGAAATAATTGATTAAAATAACTTGAAGTATTTTGAAAGATGTTCTGTCAGTATTTTAATCGATACAAATGCGAAATAATCGATTAAAATAACTAAGAGATTTTTCCAAAATGTTTTAATATATTAAAACAAGTATGTTATCAGTTAAAATAACTTGGAAAGTTTTATGAAATCTTTTGGCAGAATTCTAATCGATTAAAATGCGTTTCAATCAATTAAAATAACTAAGAGGATTTTTTCCAAAGTATTTTAATCGATTAAAACAGATTGTTATCAGTTAAAATCACTTAGAAAGTTATATGAAAATATTTTGTAGTATTTTAATCGATTAAAAGGCAAAACAATCGATTAAAACAATTTGAAGGATTTTTTACAAAATGTTTTAATTGATATAAACGTTGTCGTATCAGTTAAAACAAATCTAGAAAATGATCAAAAACATTTTAATAGATTAAAAAAAGTTTTAACAGATTAATTCAAAACTTTTAACAGATTAAAAGATTGTTTTAACATATTGATTAAACCAACAGTTTGAAAAATCCTCTATATAAACAGGATTGCTTGAGTCTTTTAAAATACATCTTTTAGCAATCAATTAAGCAATCATAAGTGCTACTTTCAAGAGAGAATCATGCACATTTTGTGAAGTTTTTCGTAGCTCTTTCTGTTAGAAAAAGAGGCTGAGATCAAGAGGGGGGTGAATTGATCTTTGAAAGATTTTCGCAAATTTACAGATTATTTATTTCTCAGCTTAAGATTTCAGATCACTTCTTGAATCACACAACAAGCAATCAAAAAATAAATGCAGTCACAGAATTAAAGAAGAGAAAGGTTTAGAAAGATATCACAGAGGTTTATACTGGTTCACCCAATCTCAGGGCTACGTCCAGTCTCTAGCCAAATTCCAGTTGGGTTCCACTAGATTGAATGTTTTACAGATTACAACCTTAACCTCACACTCAATCTACCACAAGAACCACAATTCCAGTTCCTGCACCTAACCTTTCACCAAGAACCAAATTCCAATTCTTGACCTACCCTGCAGCCAAATTCCAGCTACAGAAACCAGTGCCCACAATTCCAGGCACTCACAATATAGTAAAAGAAAGTTAAGAAACAAACAGAAGAAACTAAGAACGCTCAAACCAGTTTTATGCAGTTCTGCAATATGTTGTTTCTTCTCCAAAAGAATGCAATTTTGCCTCAAGAAAGAACTTTGATGAACTTCACAAAAAGTAGCGTAATTCTTTCTTGAAATTATCACTTTTGATTACTTGATTGATTGCTAAAAGATGTATATCAGATGTGTATATGATGTTTTTAAAAAAAGTTCAAGCAACTTTGTTTTTATAGAAGATTTTCAAAACTGCTGGTTTAATTAATTTGTTAAAAATAAACTTTTAATCTGTTAAAAGTCTTGTTTTAATCTGTTAAAACTTCTTTTAATCCATTAAAGTGTTCTTGGTTATTTTCCAGATTTTTTTTAACTGATACGACAACGTTTATATCAATTAAAACTCTTTGTAAAAAATCTTCTAATTTGTTTTAATCGATTGTTTCGTGTTTCAATCGATTGAAATACTGCAAGATATTCTTATAAACTCTTTCAAGTGATTTTAACTGATAAAAAATCGTTTTAATTGATTAAAACACTTCATTCAAATTTTCTTAAGTTGATTTAATCGATTGAAACATAGTTTAATCGATTAAAATAGTTCTGATCGATCATAACTCAATTTTGATCGATCATATCTAGTTCTGATCGGTCATAAACCCATTCTGATCGGTCAAACAGTACTCCAAGTGGTTTTAATCGATTATTTCAAAGTTGTACCGATTAAAATATTGCCAGAACACTTCTCTGAACATTTTAAGTGATTTTAATCGGTTATTTCGAAACTGTATCAGTTAAAATACTGACTGAAGGTTTTTAAAACTTCCTTTAATGAAAACAATCGGCTATTTCGAAGTTATATTAGTTAAAACCCTATTATAAAAGTGTAAAGAACGTTTTAGTTGATAAAGCTTATATTCTATTAGTTAAAATAGTTGATTAAGAAAGCTTTTGTCAAAATACTTTGGTTTTGATTGTTTAATCGCTTTTAGAGGCATTTTGCAAAAAATTTTAAGTGAAGAAACCTCATGCAACAGAAAAGATAAAAATGATTATACCTAAGCAGAGCTGCAAACTAAACTTTCTACTCTTTTATCCAAGTGACCTTTGACTGCCACAAAGTTTTCTTTGACTTCATTCTTGACTTCATCAAATCAACAAGATCTTTGCCAACGTAATTCAATAAGATCTTCATCACTTTCAGTCTCCCCCTATTTGATGAAGACAAACATCACTTTGAAAAATAACTCTGCAGAAGAAGTCACTTGATAAAATAGATTAGTTAATCAAAGAATTAATCAGTTTATCCATTTCTCCCCCTAAATTGCTGCTCTCCTAAAGAATTATTTCTCCCAATTGATCAGAAGTAAAGCAATTATTTCTCCCCCTTTTGACTTCATCAAAAATAGGGAACAAAGGAATCAAACTAATCTAATGATAGTGTGTATCAAAATATAGTTTTTGAAAACAGTAAAAGCTTTGAACAAGATACAATACTCATGTGAAGACCAATCAAAGTTGATTCAAAATTATCTTCATTAACACGTTTGTAATGAATACAATTAACACATGTAAAGATA